TAATGCCTTTGCTGAAGACTTAACTCAATGAAACACTTATAAAAATGATTGTTAGATAAATCAACCCAAAATTTGCATTTTAATAAAATCAAATCTCACCTACATTAATTGAATGTTTAAAATATGTAAAGTATCAGGTACAGTAAAGGATAAAACTTTATAAGAACTTTATAAAGGATAAAACTTCATAAGAAATCTATCATGACATTATAAAAAAAGAGCATATCTTAATAGAAATTTTTTTTAAATGAGAATCAACCGTGAAAAATTTTCTAAAGTAAAGGAGATGCAGAAAAAAAGAAAAAAAAGACGCCTAGCAGTAGAAATTTTGTATTTTGAGCTTTAAAACCCTTTAAAATGCTAATCTAAAACCCATTTTTCGAGTCAAAATTTATCAAATTGAGTTAAAGTTGAAAAAAAGTCGAGTCAGAGCTTTTGACGAGTCGAATTCGAGTATTCAGCTGGTGTTGGCTGTCGAATTCAGCTGGTGTTGGCGAAATTGAAGTATTCCCTGGCATTTTCCACTGTACACTCAAAGCAAAAGGAAGTAGAATAGTTTAAAATGTTTTTGCTTTATCAAACCAACCAACCCCAATCGCATCCCTTGAATCCATGATGCCCCCATCACGACACTCGACAGTCCCCCGCAGGCCTTTGCCTGTTCCCTTCCCCTTCCCCATCCTCTTCCCCTCCCCCTTCCCCTTCCCCTTCCCCTCCCCCTCCCCTTCCCCTTCCATCGAAACTCTTCCGAACTTCCCTTCAGTCTCTCTCTTTCCATTCCTGCAACAATGAATATTTGCTTTTGTGTTTTATCCACTTCTGGGAAAGAGGCGGTTTCTTCTTTGAGCCTTGAGCATTTTCGCTTTGAATATCTGTTTAAATTCTTTTTGCTTTCATTTTTCCCTCATCTAAATCTTCCTTACATTAAATCAAATTTAAAAAATAAAAAAAAGAACCTAGAAAACCCGAATTTACTCAAATGTCAATCGATCAAGAGATCGACAATATTCGCAAGGCACTTGAAGATGTTCATCGGGTTAGTTTAGTGAGATTACTGCGAGTACTGTAATTCTCTAGTAAGCTGGCCTAGATTTGTGACTTGATCTTTATAGATATTGATACAGTAACTTTTAAGGGCTACGGTAGCCGATTCGGGCTTTAAAGTACCAACTCAAGAAAGCAAAAATTTTCAAATCTTATTTCTAGACGCTCTCTTATGTGAACAATGGTACAGATGACGCGTTGCTAACTCTCAATAAAACTCTTCAACAATTCGAGGATCGTTTATTCAGTGTTGTTGAGGATATTACAGCCATTGGGCAACAAGTTGTCACGGTTACAAAAGAGGTAAGTTTTAAGTTGTGATATGGAAATTTTAAAGTATCTGTTTGTAAGGATCATGAGTTAGATTTTGATTGATTGTTGATCTAACCAATTAAAAGAATCTCAATCAAAACAAAACCATGCAATTTTAAAGTATCTGTTTGTAAGGATCAGATCAGATCAACCAATTAAAAGAATTTCAACCAAAAAAAAACAGCTTTTATTTTCAGTTTCCCCATTCATATGTCTACATGTCACTTTTCTTGGTTTTAATGCTTCTGCTTTGGTTATTGATCGTTTACATGGGATTCACCGCTCATTCGCATTATAAAGAAGTTCGAATTGTAATGCGAAAGCTCCGAAATGAGTACTATCGAAAGAAATATGATCCCGTCGATCAACGCCGGGACATTGATGATTTCTTTCCGGAAACACTCATTGCCATGGTGAGTAGAAAGAGATTTAAAGTTAAATAACACCTAAATGACATGTTCAGAGTCATTTTTCTTAGTTACCAGGGTCTAAAAGCATTTTTCTCCAGGTCAGTAGCCATCTTTGTCTACTCTCCTTTGACTTTACTAAGTAAAAACTGCGAAAACAAAAATTAGACCAAAAGCTGGCCTAAACCCGATTTAAACATCTCTACAAAGCGCAAGAAAAAAACCAGATTCTAAAGCTTGATAATAGGCTTTGTAGAGTAATCATTTCGCCATTTTAGGGTGAATCGCCGCCACCTAGCTACGAGTCGAAAATCTCGAGTGGATACAGTGAAGAAATGAATGAGGAAATAGCACCGATGATTGTTTCGGATCACTAAAAATGTATAGCAAAAATTTACTGTTTTCATTTGATTCAATCCTTTTTTTTGTTTTGCTCAATTTTCAAATGCCATACTTTTCTACGGGTTTTCCATTTGTCCTTTTTGATCTCAACTTGAGAAATTTCTGAGAAATTTCGAAAATTAAACATTACCATCTGAGTGAATTTGGAATTTCATAAAAATCTCGTTCTTCTTGATCTTGAATCTTCTTTTAATGACACCTTTATCAAATTGCACTCAAAAAAAAGAAGAACAAACAAAAATTTGCTTTCGTGAAGCATTCAAAAGGTGCCAATTTAGCTCAGAAAATTTAGTAGAGAATATTTTTAAAGCTGAATTATTCTTTATCAATTTTTTCCTAAAAAAATTTTCTAGATCCACTTTTTCTAGGGTTTTTGATATGCTAAACCTGAATTTTGATATTTCATAAGCTAAAACCTGATTTTTGCCGGCGGAAAGGCTTTCCTTTCGCCATCCCAAAAGTCAGCTCGTAGCCTAGTGGTTAGTGTGCCTGCGTTCTTCTTTTTGACAAAATTGACAAAATTGACTTGACTAAATTGACACCTTTATGAAATTGCACTAAAAAAAACAAAAATTTGCTTCCGTGAAGCATTCAAAAGGTGTCAATTTAGCTCAGAAAATTTAATAGAGAATATTTTTAAAGCTAAATTATTCTTTATCAATTTTTTCCTAAAAAATTTTCTAGGACAACTTTTTCCAGGGTTTTTGATATGCTAAACCTGAACTTTGATATTTCATAAGCTAAAATCTGGTTTCCGCAACTAAAAATTGAGTTGCTTGCTTGATTTTGATAGAGTGACTTGAGAGGGTTTTCCTCAAAAATGGCGATGATGTTTGGTGTGTCTTTTCATCTTCAAATCATGATTTGGTGTCCCTCCTCACCGTCAAACTTTGCCAAATTGTTTTTTTACGCAATTATTGTATTAAAATACAATAATAAACGATTTTTCGATAAAAAATTGAAAAAAAAGAAAAAAGAAAATTTTTTTACTAAAAATCATCATGTGGGGGACCACATGAATATAAAAAAAAATGAAAATTTCTAAAAATTTTTCCTTAAAACTTAAAACCCGGCTTTGAGATGTCGATTTTCGTAATCTACGCCTAAAATTACCATAGAAATGTAATTTTTGAGGGGTAAAACTCTACTCTTAACTAGATAATTGAAAATCACAAATCAGAAATCAAATTTAGAAAATTTTATTCACAAACAGCAAAATCGGAAATTTAATTTTTCATTTCTTTTGAAAAACTTTGATTTCATTAGTCGCAATTTTGATCAAAAGTCACGAGGAGATTTCTTTTTTTGACCATTTTGTTCTTTTACAATAATTTTGATCATTTTGCTATCATTTATCTAAGCTTTTGTTGATTTTTCAAGGCTTTTCAAGGTTTTCGAAAGGTTTTTCTTTTTTTCCCCGCTTTTTTTCGCCTTTTCCCGGCGTTTCTAGGGTTTCCAGGGCTTCCCAGGGCTTCCCAAAGCTTTCGGTTTTTCAAGGCTTTTCAAGGTTTTCCAGGGCTTTTCAAGGTTTTTCAAGGCTTTTCAAGGGTTTCAAAATGGAAGACATCGTTTTGCTCATGCTTTTTGAGGCGGTCATTGGTGAGATTCGTTTAAATTTTTAAAAAAAACATTTGCACAGTTACTTTAAATTACGAGAAAAGATACTTGTTTAAAAAGTGATCTTTAAGCCTCAATTGTGGTGATTGTGAACTCATTGATGGTGTTTATTATACTGAAAAACTCCGTTCTTCGACATGACGTTTCACTCTCGATCTTGCTGTATTTGCTTATTTCAGGTACAGTAAAGAATGGTAAAGAAAGATTTCCGGAGAGGGGATTGAACCCTCGACTTTTTCGTTTCCAAGTAGATGCTCTAACCATTGAGCTATCCGATATCTTCTCGTCAGAGAAAAGAGGAAATACAAGGGGAGAAGAGAAAGGAAGAGAGAGAGAAAGTGAAGGAAATCTGTAGAGAAAAGGAACCAAATCTGTAGAGAAAAGGAAACAAATCTATAGGGTAAAGGAAACAAATCTATAGGGTAAAGGAAACAAATCTATAGGGTAAAGGAACCAAATCTATAGAGAAAAGGAAACAAATCTGTAGAGAAAAGGAAACAAATCTATAGGGTAAAGGAAACAAATCTATAGAGAAAAGGAAACAAATCTATAGGGTAAAGGAAACAAATCTATAGGGTAAAGGAAACAAATCTATAGGGTAAAGGAACCAAATCTATAGAGAAAAGGAAACAAATCTGTAGAGAAAAGGAAACAAATCTATAGGGTAAAGGAAACAAATCTATAGAGAAAAGGAAACAAATCTATAGGGTAAAGGAAACAAATCTATAGAGAAAAGGAAACAAATCTGTAGAGAAAAGGAAACAAATCTTTAAAGAAAAGGAAACAAATCTGTAAACTAAATGTTTTCTTTTTTAAACCATCGTTTCAAAAGGAACATAAAGCAAAGCTTCAGTAAGCAAAGCGTTTACTAAAGCAAAGCTTTAGTAAACGAAAATCGAATTGCTTAATGGATTACTGTAATATTCATTCAACTTTAGAAGGCCTTTTCTCTTTGTTTATGATTGTCGCTTGTGCTTATCAGATTCCAATAATCATCATGGGAAAGGGTAAGGATCTATTATAGTGATTTACTAATGGTATAGTGATCAACCAATGACACTATTCTTAAAAACTCAACAGACAAAAACCCCCCCAATTTCAGCTTCAACGCAAACCACCCAATCGTGGTGTCTTTTCTTGATTTTTCCTCCATGTTTCACGTTCATTCGTTTCTTTTTCCCTTTCTGTAACGCATTTGTTTCATTGGAGAAATTGCTGATGATTTTGTGGCCAACATTTCATAGAAGAATCACTCATTTGCACATTCACAAAGCAATGCTAGGTAAAGAACATTTTGAATAATAAAGAAAGCTTTACTTTACCTATAGCTTTACTGTAAATGAGTAATTGAACTGACTTAGAGGAAATCTTAGAGGTTTTAGGTCAACTCTTTATGATCTCATCGATTATGATTGTTTTGATAATCTATTGGAGTCAAGTGAACGATGTGGAAACTTCAATTGTAAGTTGAATTGTTCAATGGATTCGTTCACATTCTGTTCACTGAACTACTAATTCTTAAATTTAGCTTTGTTCAAGTGGTGCTTATCCGTCATTGATCAATCGAGTCGAGGGTACGATGAATATCACGATTTCCTCATTTGCAATGCTTTTCTACATACCTGTGCTTTTTCAAATTAAGAAAGTGAGTTTACAAATGTAATCGTAACTTTAATTTCAAACCGTGCTTTGTTTCAAGAATCGTTCAAGGTTTTCCACGAGTTGGGTTTATATTATCAGTTATATTTTGATTATAAGTTAACTTATAATCAAAATTGGCTTTACTAGTCCGTTCAATATTGTCATATAAACTTATTTTAAAGATTTCTTAAGATCTATAACTTATCCAAGAGCTACCGTGTGCTAAAATGCGTATCTTTACTTGAAAATCTAATTCAAATTCGGTTCTTTTCTTAAAGCTCTTTTTATTAGAAAGAAAGTTCTCGGAAAAAAACGTTTAATTGGAATTTCTTAAAAACGAATCCATAAATTCGAGAACATTCATTTTGTTCTATTTACAAGTCGACTCCAAGAAATTAATTGTAAAAAAAACGAGTGCAGCATCCCCTTAAAATTTTATAGATTTTTGAAGAATGATTATTTTTCCAGCTTAAATTCAGCTCACTTTTTGGAGCAAAAAAAACGATTTCTTATGAAATAAAGCTATAAAGCAATACGCCCTATAATCTATAAACTCTATTTTTAGCCAAAAATTTTTTTACAGAGAAGCTGTATTTCAAAAGCTAATTTTTTGAAGTCACCTTCTTGGCACTGAGTGCTTTTTGCTAAACTAGGTGAGTCTGAAAAGTTAAAGCATTAAATCAAATTTGCCTTTATCACAAATTTTCCCTATTTTAAGTATACTTGATTTTAGGTTTGTGAATGGGATCCATTCCCTATCCATTAACCCATTAAAATCTTACCTAAAGGCTGGTCACTCAAAAAGTGACCAAGTCATAGGCTACCTTAAGAGAGTCATAGTTACTCCCGCCGTTTACCCGCGCTTACGTGAATTTCTTCACGTTAACATTCAGAGCACTGGGCAGAAATCAGTGACAAGACCATCTGTCTCCTCTGTTTTAATTAGACAGTCGGATTCCCCGTGTCCGTACCAGTTCTAAGTCGACTGTTTCACGCCGGCCGAAGCACACAGCCCGAAGACCATGCACGCAGCCGCGGCAGTCCACGGGACAGTCCCGACACGAGGCCAAGCTCCACAAAAGCGTCACCCAGTCACTTCAGCTGAAGAAATCTCTTATTTTTTTTATTTGAAGCTCACTGATTTTTGTCATAAGCTCTTTAAAATATAGTCAAGTTTATCAAAAAAAAAAATGTGGGAAGAATTGATGGTTTTTGGTTTTTGAGAAATCACCATGCAAACTTTTTCAAGAACTTTCTTTCCAACCTAATACATAGAGTTTAAATTATACATAAAGCTTTCCATAGAGGTTAAACTAGAGATTATCCACCCGTTTACTGTTGTCATAATTCATTGTTTCATCATTGTTTCATAAAAAAAGTCGAATTCAAGTTCGTCGATCAATCTCATTCCAGTGGAGTGCAAACGAACCCAGGCCTATTATTTGAGTTTTGTGCAAGCCGCCAAGTGGACAAGTAAGCAATTCTTTTAAAAACAACAAAACCAGAGAAATTCCTAGCTCTAATCATTTTATCAATGATCGTTTTCAATTTGTTACCGGATATTTGCAAAGTTTTACAGGTAAACGTAAAAATTTCTTTTTAATTCTTTAAAGCTTTCAATTTTTAGCTTGATATCTATCGTGGTTACGAGTTTTGCTTTTATCTTTTAATCTCGGCGAAGCCTTTATTCAATACATTCGTGATCGGGATGGGAAATCGAGATGTGCAGCTAAATATTCGGCGATTTTTCTGCAAAACTCGAATGAGACAAAAGTCGATTGCTTGGGAAATCGGGAAATGAAAAAGGTTCTTTTTGGTTCAACAAAAGTAAACCTTTTTCAATTTAAAATGATTTTTTAATAGTATCAAACTCAGCCTGATCGGATTGTGTGTTTTGGGATGAAACGGTAAAAAAAGAAGCTAATTTGTATGTAGGAAATGAAAAAAGGTTCTTTTTGGCTCACTAAATTAAACCTGTTCAATTTAAAGAGATTATTTTAATAGTATCAAACGTTTTTTCGCAAAAGCAGCTCAGTGTTCTTGTTTGAAAGTTTTTCACACTTGTTATTAGAATATTAGAAATTGGTTGGTTATTGCTACAAAAAGTGTGCTCGAGCTAGGTTATTCCCATGAAATTTTCTCAAGAAATCAGCGACAAAAATGTTTTTTTTTAATTAGTGTGTGGAATTTAGTTATTTCTGATTTCTTGAAAACTTCATGGAAATTGCTAGCTCGAGCATTCTTAACGAGAAATTAGCTGAGAATTTTCGAAAGGTTTTGAAATGTATTTTTTAATTTTTCTGTTTAACTTGATTAAAGTTTTTATTTAAAGTTTTTATTTAAAGTTTTTATTTAAAGTATGAGTGACCCAATGGAAGAGATCATTCTCAGCATGATATTGGAGGCGATCATTGGTAAATATTATTCGAAAATTTGTTAACTTTCAAAAGTATCTCTTTAGCTTCAAAAGCTATCGTATCTCTTCAGTTTTAAATACATTCGAATGAAATCGAGAAATCAATTTCCAGCCTCAACGGTTGTCATTGTGAACACTGTGACGATGGTGATCATCTTGAAAGATTCGAATCTCCGAGAAGATCTCTCAATCTCTTTATTGTTCTATCTGCTATTATCCGGTAAATTAAGGATAAAGTACATGCCGTAAATACTGTAATAGTACCCCACCCCCCTCGTACAGTCGCGTAGTCGCAAAAGTTTTTTTAGTATTTCATTTTTTTCAAAGCGCCCGTACTTTCAAAAAATGCGTCTTTGGTATCAAAAAATAGCTGAAATTCAGGGCTATTTTTTGATACCTAAGCGCGCATTGTAGCATAAACCAGTGTCGAGAAAAACTCGTCCAAAGCTAGACTACGCAACACTCCGCACCCTTATTATGGGGGTGGCGTACCATTACAGTATTTACGGTAATTATAGAGTACATAATTCAACAAACAAACAAAACAAATACACAATCCCTATTGCCCTAATATCCCTAAAGATGCTGCAGAGAATGTATGAGAAAAAGAGCGAAATTTCCCGGCCGCTGGGATCGAACCCGTGACCTCTCGACTAGGATACAAGACTCCTAACCATTCGACCATGACGGCCAAAGAGTCCTGCTTATAAAAACAATTCAGAAGGGATCTTCTCTGGTTTAATGGTGGCCGCATGTGGGTATCAGATCAATGTTTATGCGACAGGAAGGGGTAAGTACATTAGATGAGAAAACCAAAAGTTCGATCAGATGCCGAAGAGCAGCCCCGATCGTGGTGTCTCTATCTGATCTTTCCTCCACTTTTCTCATCAATTCGTTTCTTTTATCCATTCTGCAATGCATTCATCGCTTTGGAGAAATTGCTTGTGATTGCGGCGCCGAGTTTCCATCGTCGACTCACCTATGTGACTGTTCATCGCATATATTTGAGTAGGTAAAAAAAGAAATGGAAAGCTCAATCAATAGTTTTCAGTTTTAACGGCTCTCTTGGCTATCTTGATGACAGGTTTCATTATCTATTGGAGTCGAGTAAACGATGTGAAATCGTCGATTGTAAGCCTTGTTCGTAAACTTCAAGAAGGCGTCAGAATTGAGGCCGATTAAAACAAAATTATCGGCAAATGAGTGTAGTAAAATAAGTTTTTGATGAAGTAGACTAAAGTAAATCGTTTTATCGGTTTATCAATCATTTATCAAGGATTAAAAGATTAATGATCAGCTTTTCGGTTCAATCAATTAAATCAGTTTCAATCTTGAGTTTTTCAGCTAGTTTTGGTTTAACAGGGTCCACAATTTGTAGCAAAAAAATGGTCGAATTTCGGGCAAAAATTAATCCCAGAAATTTGGGCATAGACACGGCTCAGTGGACTTGAAAATGAATTCTTTTTGAAACGTCGGCCTCCAACAGGGAACCTCTATCTATCGGGGCTATGTGCCAGACGGCGAGCGATTACACGGCCGCACAAAGAACGCCTCGCCAATCATTTAGCCAATCATCCGAATTCTTTTTGAAACCCAAAAACCCCCCCCCACCGGGCCCCCGCGCCACCCCCCCAAAAAAAACCCCCTCTTTATTTTTTCCATAACCCAAATCTTTTAAAAGTCGGCCTCCAACAGGGAACCTCTATGTATCGAGGGTATGTGCCAGACGGCGAGCGATTACACGGCCGCACAAAGAACACCTCGCCAATCATTTAGAGGGACTTTTCTTTTGCATTGTAAATGATAAAAAAAGAAAATATTCACATCAAAACACATCCTATCTGGTGCACTTAATCTTGTTGAAAACTTCAATCAATCAAATTCCAAATTTCAGGTTTGCTCCAATTCCGGTTATCCGGATTTGGTTCATAAAAGCGAATCGATGGTGGTGATGGTTGTGCTGAGCTTTGGTTTCTTTTGTTATTTGCCCGTGCTTGCACAAATCAAAAAGGTATTGAATATAAAGATTTGAATGGATTACACTGTAATCTTCAAGTTCTAAGTTAAGTTTTAAGTTCTCTAAGTGAAAGTTCAGTTCGTCGATCGATCCCGTTGCGAAAGCTCATCAAACAATCGGGCTTATTACGTGAAATTCGTCTCAGCAGTGAAATGGACGAGTCTGATTTTGTTGTCGATGTTGATCTTCAACCTTACGCCTGAGATTTGCAACTTTTTACAAGTACCGTCAAAGAAAAAATGGCATTGAAATAATTGAAATTGCTAACATTTTAGCTTGACATCTATCGTGGTTACGAGTTCTATTTCTATCTTCTTTTTGCCGCAAAACCTTTATTTAACACATTCGTGATCGGCTTTGGGAATCGTGATGTAAGGAGCCGAATTTCGAGACTTTTTTGCGCAAAGGAACGACGAAAGAAATCGATCAGCGCCTGGCCATCAGCACAATCGGCTCTTGGTCAAGAAAGGCGGAAAAGTTCAAAAGGAAATGATCCTCATTTTGTGAATAAATAAATTTCATTTGCATATATTTGCAAAATTTCAATCACAATTTAAACATGATAAAAATACAAAGACTGAAACAT